GAGCCGACTAGAAAGAAAACGCTTATTCGAGCATCGAGTGTGGGAGAAGAATAAAACCTTTAGCGACTATTGTCATGATAAAGTAATAAAAGGAAATAAGGTCCCGATTGCAAAAGAAGAAATAGTCGATTATTAATGGGATACCGGTAAAAGCTTTAAGAAATCAGGCGAAAATGCACTCTTTTGTTACGGTGCAAGAGCTGACAAAAGCGTTTCAGCAAATTACATTGGATATATCAGATATCTCTCAAATGCACCGTGAAGGCTCGGGTCTCAAGAACTTCAAACCCAAGACTGCCTCTTCAAAAATAATTCCAAAGAATAGTTTGAGACCAGGAATCAGAGGTTCGGCAAGATGTTACCAATGCAACGAAATGGGCCATTTCGCAAAGGATTGCCCCCGGAAAAGAAGAAGTTTCAGGAGTCAAGTATAGATAAGAAGACTAGTTTAGGTAGTAGAAGAACTGACCGCCAGGTTGGCTTGGTCAATGAATGCGAACAGTCGGTGTTGGCAAGCAGTGAATCCGATAGCGATGATACTAAGGAACCTAACGAAATCCATTTTGTGGACGTGTGCGGGGCACCCAGAGACAAATTCCAGAGAGTAACCAATTTGCAGATTGAAGGAGGTGCACCATTTTCATGTACGGCCAGGATTGATACAGGATGTCCGGTCACGCTTGTTCAGGAAAGTTTAATAAACTATAAGAATATACAAATCCCGGAACAAGAATGGAACAGATATCGTGGCATAAATAATTCCAAAGTTAAGGTAAAAAGACTAGTTAGAGCTGAGGTTACTATGGATGCCTGCAGTAAATCAGTAATCATGGGCGTAGTACCCGATGGCACAATGTTTGTCCCATTACTAATAGGCAGAGACGCATTGAAATCTTTTAGTTATTGTTTAACTAATAGTCCAGCTTTTGATAAGGCTGTAAGCGAAATACTGCTTATTTGTGACGATTTGAATCGCGCCAACATAAATATAAGTTGCGATGTTCCGTCGGATGCTCGTAAATCATTTGAAAAAATTTTTATCGAATATTATGTAAAACCCGTTAGACCGGAAATCCCTAAGGTACAAGTAAAGGCTACTTTAACTTTAAAAGACAATAAATCAGTACAATTTGGCCCGCGAAGACTAGGTTTTTCAGAAAAAGAAAAAGTCCGACAAATTTTAGACGATCTATTGCAGCGAAAAATAATAAGAAAAAGTGTTTTAGAGTACGCTTCCCCTATTGTACTAACTCGGAAAAAACAGGAAACATTAGATTATACGTGGATTACCGCGCATTAAACAAGATTTTGGTGCGTGACAATTACCCTCTACCTTTGATAGACGACCAATTGGATGCATTGCGAGGTAAACGCTTCTATAGCTCGCTAGATCTCAAGGACGGCTTTTATCATATTGCGATGGCACCGGAGTTGGTAAAGTACACGGCATTTGTAACTCCATTGGGTCAGTTCGAGTTCCTGCGATTGCCATTTGGCCTTAAAATTGGACCTCAATTGTTCCAACACTTTGTAAATGAGGCTTTGGAGGAATTAATAAAAGCTGGAAACATCGTTGTTTATATGGACGATATTTTGGTTGCCACTGAGACTTTGGAATCGCATATCAATGTTTTAAAAGAAGTTTTCACTATTCTCGTTAATAGCAAACTCGAACTGAAATTGGAGAAATGTGCCTTCTTGTATACTGAAGTGGAATATTTAGGGTATAAGGTATCAATAGACAGGATACAACCTACTGATAGAGGCATTATGGTTGTACAGAATTTCTCCGAACCCAAAACCGTGAAGGAAGTTCACTCTTTTGTCGGCCTGGCTTCCTATTTTCGGAGGTTTATTAAAGATTTTTCTATTATTGCTCGACCGTTATATCGTCTTCTCAAGAAGGAGTCCACTTTTAAGTTCGGCGAATGTGAAAGGGGCGCGTTTGTAACGTTAAAAAATAAACTGGTCGAGGCACCAATCTTAGCCATATACAATCAAAAAACAAACACGAAACTGCATTATGATGCAAGCATTCATGGGTTCGGAGCAATTCTGATGCAAAAACAGACTAATAACCAGATGCATCCCGTATTCTACTTTAGTCGTCGAATCACCGAAGTTGAAACGCGATATCACAGCTTCGAGCTGGAAATGTTGGCTATCGTGTACGCCTTGCGCAGATTCCGAATTTACTTGCAAGATATATCTTTTATAATTGTCTCGGACTATAGTGTCGTCACTCAGACATTAGAAAAACGCGACATTAACAACCGTATAGCAAGATGGAGTCTCGAGCTTCAAAACTTTGACTCTAAAGTATTACATAGGGCAGGATCGAAAATAGCCCACGTTGACGCATTGAGCAGATCTTTCGGAGTCTTGGTAGTTGAGGACAATCCATTTGAATGGAATCTCACAGTTTTACAAGGTCGAGATCCCAAGATTAAAGAAATCGCGCATCAATTAGAATCAACGGAGAATCCTCAGTACGCATTACGTGATGGTCTAGTTTATAAAAAGCATGGTGCAAATCTCTTGTTTCTTGTACCTGAACAGATGGAAAAACATGTTTTATTTTGCTACCATAACGAAATGGGCCATGTTGGATCCGGTAAAATGATTGACGCTATTCGACGTACGTATTGGTTTCCAAGAATTCACGAAAAATGTGAGGAACATGTGCAATATTGTTTAAAATGTATATCATTTTCACCTGTATGCGGTAAGACTGAAGGATACCTGCATCCAATTCCGAAAAGAAATCTTCCATTCAAAACTGTTCATATCGATCATTTTGGGCCAGTAAATAACCAAGTATTATCGAAAAAGTATATTCTGCTAATTATATAGATGCTTTTTCTAAGTTTGTTAGATTATACGCCACTAAGACTACTAATGCAAAAGAAGTTGTTCATTGTCTACAACAATTCTTCCAAAGTTATAATAAACCCAAAATAATTATTTCCGATCGAGGCAGTGCCTTTACTTCGCAAGAATTTGGAGATTTCCTAAAGGAACAAGATGTTCAACACATTAAAATTTCAGTAGGATCACCCAAAACAAACGGTCAAGTCGAGCGCATCAATAGAATTATAGCGCCTTGCCAAGTTATCAAACAACGCAGAGGGCCGACAATGGTATAAAATACTACCCGAAGTAGAGTACGCCATTAATAATACCGTCAATCGATCAACCGGAATGATTCCTAGTCAGCTGATTTTTGGCATCGAACAACGTGGTACTTGTGTGGATCGTCTCAAAAATTTCTTGGAAGCAATGGCAAACTCCCCGAATCGAGATCTTAACGTCATCCGGGATCAGGCGGCACAGCGCATCTGTCTTTCACAGCAACGCCAAAAAAAGGATTATGACCGCCGACACAAAGCAGCTCGAAAATATGAAAAGGGCGACCTAGTTATGATCCGCAACTTTGAAAACACACCTGGAGTCAACAGGAAAATGGTTCCGCAATTTCGCGGCCCGTATAAAATTTCTAAAATATTGCGGAACGATAGATATATTGTTTGTGATCCTCCGGGGTTCCAGAATACCCAACGACCATATTGTGGTACATGGGAATCTAGTAACCTACGTCCTTGGGTATTTGCAGCAAACCATTAAAAAAAAATAATTTTAGTATCTTATAAACTGCTGTTTACTTCAGGTGACTTCTATTATTATACTGCGCCGACAAATACATCCCAGCAAACACAGATATATAACAACTATATTGCAACAATAAAACAGAATGTAACATGTAATGTAACATGTATGTTACATGTAATACAATTGTTAGTTGTAATTTCCCACTCACAGGCTTGTTGCAGTTCTATCACATAAATATAACGCGGTACTAAAATGCCACGTAACTGTTACATAAAATAGATATATCATGCAAATAACATGCAATATAGTTGTTATAAAACTGTTATTAGATTTGTTATTGAATAATTACATTCTTATTAGGTTAGGAATTAAATTAGGTTATTAGCCTGTAAAAAAATGCAAATCTCAGAAATAACAGATCCGTGAATTAATTCTAAGCAAAATTAAATAAAATATTTTTGTGAATTAATATTTCATTTAGTTTTGCTCAGAATTAATTCAAAGTTCTGTTATTTCTGAAAGTTGCATTTATTGCAGGCTAATAACCAAAAGCTATAATAGAAAAATCAAATCATAATTTGAAAAATATTTTATTTTACATTGTTTTTTTTTATTTTACATCAATTTTATATTATATAATATGTACATTAAAGAGGATTGCAACATGTAACATTTTTTCACTAATTTAGTTTAAAGTTAACAGTAATTCTAACATTAAGAAAAACATTTATGCACTTAAGATTATTTATATGTGACAAATAACTTTCGAATATAACATAATTGGAGGCCAATGCAGACTTTATCTCCAAAAAGAAATAGTCCAGGCACCCACTGGCTTAGATTCTAAAAATCTCGTCAGTGCGGACTCTGTCATTTAAAAATTGGCAGTCCCAGCACCCACCGACGTAATCGGAAGCCAATGCCCTCATCAAGTTTAAGCCAATGCGAACTGTATCAGGCAATTGATTTGTTATCTTTCTTATAAAATTATTAAATAATAATTCTTCAACTATTAATAATCATTTCAATTAAAAAACGTAATGAATAACACTAACCTCTAAAGGACGGGAAGCCGATATATATATATTACTGACATATATCTCAAAGTTTTAAATTGAAAACTTTAGAAATCGTTCGAAAACCATCCCGTCCTCTAAGGGTTAAGACCAATAAGCATGAAAAAAAATTAAGACCGATGAATAGGTTCAAACCAATTGACCAATAATTTTTAACCAATTAAAATAATTAATTACATTTATAAACAAAAAAAGATTAAGACCGATAAACAGGTTCATACCAATTGACCAATAATACAATAATTTTTAACCTCTAAAGGATGGGAAGCCGATATATATATTACTATGACATATATCTCAAAGTTTAAAATTGAAAACTATAGAAATCGTTCGAAAACCATCCCGTCCTCTAAGGGTTAAGACCAATAAGCATAAAAAAAAAATTAAGACCGATGAATAGGTTCAAACCAATTGACCAATAATTTTTAACCAATTGAAAAATTATTAATTTATAAACAAAAAATGATTAAGACCGATAAATAGGTTCAAACCAATTGACCAATAATAATTTTTAATCATTAAAAAAAAATTACATTTATAAACGAATTCGACGATTTAGTTTACCCCGCAGTATACAAAAAAGTTCGATGAGGCCAACATCTCTCGTAGAACTTTGACAGCCATTCTTCTGACTACTCCAAACGTGTGTTTACTCCATTTCCTTCTCCTTAGCCTTATCGCTTCTTTCCTTTCGCTGCTTGGCAAAGCGAAACCATTCGCTGGCGATATTATCAAATTCAGTCTCTGTAAGACTGAACTGCGATGTTATTTCTCCTGCAAAAATTAAACACAATACATTAATGAAAACATTTAGAAATTTTTATTTATAAGTTTAAGAATATATATTAACATACCTTTCAGAATATTTATCACCTTTAAGTTAGAAATGCGAAAATTATTTCGTAACCCTTTCCAAGAACATTGCATCGCACATTCATTACTGAAGATTTTCTTCAGATTTCGATGTATGCTGTCCTTCGGGTTATTTCCGCCGGTTTTTAAGATAAATTGTCTCTGTAACACAACAATGTTTATATACAAATTAAATTTTAATATTATGAGATTAAACAATTAATAATAAAATTTATAAACTTACAAATTGCACTGCTATCTCCTTCGTACGTAATACCTTGTCAAATTCCCGTACAGCATCAATTGTTGTAAAAGGTAAGAATTCTTTCATTATTTCACAATCTTGATGTAGATCCGAAGCTCTTTGTGGATAGGATGTTTTTACAACATCCTCAAGTTTTTTTAAACGTTGTTTGACTTCTTTATGCGAAAGATTTAATACGGCTAGCATTCTTAATATTTGCTGTAGCATTTCTGCAAAATAAAATAATATACATAAATATACATAAAAACGTTCACAAATTTTAACATTATAAACAATCTTAAAAATTTACCTGTTATGTTTGAATTATTATCAGTTTGCAAATCATTAGTATTTTCAAATCCTAAAATATTTTAATAAATCCATTATATATAACAATAAAAATTTATTATGTCAATACTTTATTTATTATTTTTTTCAATAACGTACCTTCTATTATTATCGGTGTGTTGAGGTCTACATTACTTGCAACATGTGATTCCATTTCTCGTTCTGAAAATGTATTAACGTATTATTTTTTATAATACAATTATTGCGAATTATATATTATTATATGTTATAATTGTTATATGTTAACCTTGTTGTGCAGTTGCTGCCATAGCATAGTCGTTTGCGTTTGATATGATTGGGATTGCGTTTGATTGTGATTTATTTAATATAGATGCATTTGATACGAATGCATTGGAAACAGATGCATTGGACACAAATGCATTGGACATAGATGCATTAGAATATTCATATTCTAAACTGAGCGTATCGGGATACAAGGGTGATGTTGATATTGCATTCGAATACAAGCGGCTTTCTATAAATAAAACAATAAATTTTATTTAACATTTATAATTGTGCAAAAAAATCATTTAAGTATTACACTTTAATATTTATGTAATTGAATTATTAATATAATTCAAATATTGATAAACATTAAATTTTCATATAATACATACTTTTTTATTTGCACATGGGGCGAGATTCTTCCTCACTACTGCAACAATTTGAAAGGAATATGTTGCCTCTTCCCTCGTCCTAATCTTTCTTCATCTGTTGTTTCATAACTTGTCATCTTGATGCATTTTTTCCGAGCGGATTCAAAGAGATGCTGCAATGAAAAAAAGAAAGTATGTATTTTAGTAAAATCGTGAAAATGTTCAAAAATCTAATTTTGTATTATTTATTATGCAATGTAAGATATAAAAATCTTTAAATACTTACTACAATATTTTATAATGTTCACGTCATATCGTTTCCACGTATTATTTGGATGAGCACAATTTGCTATTAGCGTTGCACAATTGGCTGTCCGTGGTGGCCACCAACATTCACGAACTATATTATTATGTTGAATGAGCCACAATACTGGAATTTCAGAAAAAGTTTCATCCAACAAAAATTTTACTACAGCGTAGTTTGTTTCTTTATTTACTTTGGCCATGATCTTTTAATGTAATCTAAAAAAAAGATAACATATCAATTTATAAGGTCCAGAGAAATAAAAATCTTTTCACTAATTTTATCATATTTTGATTGAGAAGGATTTATTCATAAAATTAATAAAAGTTTCATATTTCCAAATCGTCAGTTGAGGAATAAATAAAGCGACATAATTGGACGATTCTCTATGTTAATAATTTTAATCGAATAATTAAACTTTTTTCCAATTTTAAACTTTATTATATAAATGTTACAGAATTTCTTATCTACAATTTCAAAATTTCAAAATTGGTATAAATGAAATTGATAATTGTGTTTTAATAGATAAGAAGTCGGTGGCTTTTATTTTAGAAATATTTGAAGAAAATGTTTTATTTGTTCTTGCGCAGTGTTTTTTAAATCCAACTTCTTTTTTCACAACACCATGCCCTTCAGAAAGACTTGGCATATTTCAAATTGCAAAGAATACGACTTCAAATACTATTAAAATTCCAGTAACACGAATAACCAGCAAATGTTTAAAAGTTAAAAATCTTTCTGAAGTAGGCTCTTACATCACAATTCCGTTTTTACTTACTGCAACAGAAAATACTGTTTAATTGCAATACCATATCAAATAAAAGTTTTTGGTTTTTATCGGTCTTTATTTTTCATTATGCTTATATAGGTCATGGTCTTTATTTCTTGTTA